TCCCTTAAACCAATGTCATCTTCAGTGTGCAGACTTTATCTTCACTGTGTCCTTTGTGCAAGTGATTCTTTCCTGGAGACCTGGAGCACGGCTGGACACTGCCTGGCTGCTTTGTGCAGCGAGCCACATTGCTTGCAGCTGAACACCCCATCTTGTGTCACTTTGCAGGCTGAGTCCTTGCAGCTGCTGACTCGTCCATCGTTGTCACACCTTCCTTGATGTTGCTGAATGTCCTGGTGTGTAAATGAGAGAGCTGAGCATCAAGGCAGATCTTGATGGCTCCATTCGGCATCAGCTCAGCTTCTCACAATAGCCTCTCTGATCTTTTCTTCCACACTAAAGACTGTTTGGTCTCATATCATCAAGCACATCAGGATAAAGAAGTTACATGACTGTGCTTTCAACATTGTCTGTCAAAAAGTGGTCAGAAGGTTCTCTTTGCTGCTGCATTCTTCAACGAAAGACATATTTTATACATTTCATTCTTTTTAGGACAACAATGGTCATCTGTTCATCAAACTTGTTGAGGACTGCATCCATCCATCAATCCAGGCTAAGGAGAGTGATACCCCTATAATTGGAGCACCCCCTCTATCTTTTTTGAAGAGGGGATCCAACACTCCAGTCTGACAATCCGTTGGCCTTGTCCACAATGTCCACATGATGTTGCAAAGGCATATCAACCAAGACAGCCCCACAACATCCAGACCCTTAAGGAAATGGGTCAGATCTCATCAACCCCTCGAGCCCTACCGCCGTGAAGCTTTTTAACTACCTCTATGACCTCATCCACAGTTATGGACAGAGGTCAACAGTACCCCACCTTCACTGAACATTGTGCTGTGCGCTACTTTCCCCTCCTCAGCTGCCTGATGGTTTTCCAGAATCTTCTCTGAACTGACCAAGAGTCTCCATCCATGGCCTCACTGAACTTCTTCCACATCCGAGCTTTTGACACAGCAACAGTTAAGGCCGTGGACGCAACAGTTAAGGCTGTGGACCACTTGGCCCCTCCAGTTCTCCTCATCTGCCTCTGGAGTCCCACCAGCCAGCAAGGCCCGATAGGACTCCTTCTGCAGCTTGACAGCCTCCCTCACCTGTGGTGTCCACCACCGAGCTTGAGGATGGCCATCATGAGAAGCCCTGACCACCTTGTTGTCACAACTTAAGGCAGCCCTCTCAACATTTGAGGCATGGAACATGACCCACTCCCACCTCAGCTGGGATGTTGTTAAAGCTCTTCCTGAGGTGTCAGTTGAAGATCTTTCTGATGGTTCTTTCTGCCAGGCATTCCCAGCAAACCCTCACTACACATTTGGGTCTACCGGGTCTGTCCGGCATCTTCCCCTGCCATCTGATCCAACTCACTACCAGGTGGTGATCAGTTGTCAGCTCAGCTCCACTCTTCATCTGAGTGTCCAAAACAAACAGCCACAAATCAGACGACACGACTACAAAGTCAATAATCTATCTGCAACCAAGGACGTCCTGGTGCCAAGTGTACTTATGGACACCCTTATGTTCGAGCATTGTGTTTGTGATGGACAAACTTTGACTAGCACAGAAGTCCAACAACAGAACACTGCTCAAGTTCAGATCAGAAAGGCTGTTCCTCCCAATCTCGTCCTTCCATGTCACACTGACACTATGCTCCTTGTTTTTTCCTGTCCATATGAGTGTTTGGAATCGCTCTTTGTCTGGCCTGTCACCTAGAACCAATCTGCACTGGGAGACCCTTTTTTCATTCAAACAAGACCCTACTAGAAGTACTTACAATTGCCCCCAACAGCATCCATGAGCTCCTAGGATCATTCAGGCGCACAAACTTTTCCACCATGATAAGGTGACGATTCAAGGAGGAATTCATCTTCATCTTTAAACATAAACGTGTTGAATACTTCTGTGTCTTGAGGGCCTGCTATTGTTAGCAGTAGAGCTATCTTCGAGCCTCTGGCTTGGCCTCCAGTCTAATGGCTGCTATATAGAAATGGAACTGCTGCCTGAAGCTATGCCGATTACTGTCAACAAGTCGGTTTCAAACTTTCTGGTGTCTGTGGTTCCATGTCGCTCTTCGCAATATGCCTCTCCAACGTAACTTTGTCCTTTATTGTAGCTTTCCATTCACTTATCCAGTATCCTGTTACTCCTGGTACCATGACGATCCAACTAGAGTCAGTTTGTTTTAAAAAAACAAACTGACTCTAGTTGGATCTTATGATCTTTATTCTTGTTTGCTCATTCATCAAACATTTTACTCTTCCCTGCACACCTTGTGCCACATCCTTTGATCTGGTTCCGTGACAACTTCCTGTCTGCCAGACTGCAGTACTGACACCTGGCGGTTACCATAATCACACCTGATCATCACACCTCGTTAACATTTTCAGACCCTCGTTAACATTTTCAGACCCTCGTCGGTTCATTAAACAAAATGAAGTGAGTCTGATTTTCTGATGAAGGCCGCCCATCATCCTCATCACTAAAGTTCTGCAGAGCACAAAGTTTTTCTCTCTGCTTGGTTTTATTCCAAAGTAGATTTTTGAAACGTGTATCCACAGTGTGTGTTCATCAGGATTGGTTTTGCTGGAGAACGGTCTGTTCTTCCTGATTCCTGTTTTCAGTTTTAGTTTCGATGGGATGTGGTTACCGTGGTTACTGGATGACGGGCAGCATTGATCATCAGCAGGAGAACAGAGACGATAATCAGCTGCTGATTAGCAGAGTCATCTACAGCATGTGGATGAGGACAAAGAGCAGGGGAGGGGTTGTGCACAATACTGTGCATGTTGCTGTGCACTTTAATTATTATTTAACCTGTCCTAATAATGTTACCTGGTTTGACTGAAGTTTTTTTTTTTACCCAACTAATCAGGAAACTATAAAAATCACAGATAACGTTCATTCATATCGCAAGGTTCGACTTAAATTTCTACTTTATGTTGGTGTCACCTGAGCATCAGAATCCTGGTCCTGGTTAGGGTCCTGTTTTTAGTTTTCTAAAGCGCCTTGTGATCTAACTGTTTTTTGCTGCTATTTCTCTTGATTGTCCTTTTGGTTGCTATTTTGTTTCGATTTGTAAAAAAAAAAAGAGAAACTTAAATTTGTATTCCTATTTTATGGCCGTCTATTGTTGTTGTTGTTGTCCACTGTTGTCATCACTCTTTGTTAAGAAATCAGGTCTCTCTGGTAAATGAGTCATCAAGGCTCAATGGGATTAACATGTCTAAATAAATGTTGAATTAATTGAACAGTTCTTTATAGAACATGTCTTTGTAGACCAGGTCTTTGTAGAACAGGTCTTTATAGAACAGTTCTTTGTAAAACAGGTATTTACAGAAAAGTTCTTTGTAGAACAGGTCTTTGTAGAACCGATCTTTATAGAACAGTTCTTTTGTAGAACAAGTCTTTGTAGAACAGGTATTTCTAGAACTTGTCTTTGTAGAACAGTTTTTTGTAGAACAGGTTTTTGTAGAACAGGTCTTTGTAGAACAGGTATTTATAGAGCAGTTTTGTAGAACAAGTCTCTTTAGAACAGGTCTTTGTAGAGCAGTTCTTTATAGAACACTTATTTATAGAACAGTTCTTTGTAGAACAAGTCTCTGTAAAACAGGTCTCTGTAGAACAGGTCTTTGTAGAACAGGTATTTATAGAACAGTTCTTTGTAGAACAAGTCTTTGTAGAACAGGTATTTGTGGAACATGTCTTTGTAGAAGGAAATAACAGAATGGGCTCAGGAATACTTCCAGAAAGCATCGTCAGTGAACACAATCCACCGTGCCATCCGCCGTTGCCAGCTGAAACTCTACAGTGCAAAGAGGAAGCCATTTCTAAGCAAGCTCCACAAGCTCAGACGTTTGCACTGGGCCAGGGGTCATTTAAAATGGAGTGTGGCAAAATGGAAGACTGTTCTGTGGTCAGATGAGTCACGATTTGAAGTTCTTTATGGAACACTGGGACGCCATGTCATCCGCACCAGAGAGGACAAGGATAGCCCAAGTTGTTATCAACGCTCCGTTCAGAAGCCTGCATCACTGATGGTATGGGGTTGCATGAGCGCTTGTGGCATGGGCAGCTTGCATGTCTGGAAAGGCACCATTAATGCAGAGAACTATGTTCAGGTTCTAGAGCAACATGTGCTCCCATCTAGACGTCATCTCTTTCAGGGAAGACCCTGCATTTTTCAACACGATAATGCCAGACCACATTCTGCAGCAATTACATCATGGCTACGTAGGAGAAGGATCCGGGTACTGAAATGGCCAGCCTGCAGTCCAGATCTTTCACCTATAGAGAACATTTGGCACATCATAAAGAGGAAGGTGCGACAAAGAAGGCCCAAGACGATTGAACAGTTAGAGGCCTGTATTAGACATGAATGGGAGAGCATTCCTATTTCTAAACTGGAGAAACTGGTCTCCTCTGTCCCCAGACGTCTGTTGAGTGTTGGAAGAAGAAGGGGAGATGCCACACAGTGGTAAAAATGGACTTGTCCCAACTTTTTTGGGATTTGTTGACGCCATGAAATTTGGAAACAACAGATTTTTCCCTTAAAATGATTCATTCTCACAGTTTAAACTTTTGATCTGTGATTTGTGTTCTATTCTGAATAAAATATTAGATGTTGGCACCTCCACATCATTGCATTCAGTTTTTATTCACCATTTGTTGAGTGTCTCAACTTTTTTGGAATCCGGTTTGTAGTTTACCTGTGACTTGTTTACCTGTGATTTGTTTACCTGTGACCTGTTCACTCTTCAAGGTCTGACCCTGTAGATCGAACAGTTCTGACGTCTGAAGGAGACGAGTCCGTCTCTGTTTTTGTTAAAAGTTAAAAACTGAACTCGTGGTTTTCATGAAGACGAGTTTCCAACCAAACTTCAGAATTCATCAGCACCACCTGTCGCAGGTGTTCTGACGGGTCAGCAGGTGGAACTTTGTTCTGAAACGACCCGTTTCTCTCGGGCTGTTGTTCTAAAAATGTCTGTTTTTCTGGGTTTCAGCCGACCAGTGAGGAGGACCTCTGTCCGATCTGCTACGCTCACTCCATCTCGGCCATCTTCAGGCCCTGCTCACACAAGTCCTGCAAGTGAGTCCACTCAGAACCACAAACAGAACCTCCTAGGACAGAACCCCACACTGTTTCTTTCATATTAAGAGCATCTCAGAACCACAGCTGATGATCCTTTAGGGAAAGTTAATGTTCAGAGAGTTACAGATTGAACAGTTCCATCTGATTTAAGAAGTTCTCTGGTAAGAAAACACACCTGTCTGATGAAAAGTGATGGATCAAGCCCAGAGTGACCCACTTCCTGTTGACCTGGTTCTGATGGTTGTGTTCTCTGTTCAGAGCCTGCATCAACCAACATCTGATGAACAACAAGGACTGTTTCTTCTGCAAGGCCACCATCACCGGGGTGGAGGACTACAGCAAGCCCACCTCCTCCTAACACACACCTGTCACACACCTGACACACACCTGTCACACACCTGACACATGACACACACCTGACACACACCTAACACACAC